AAAATTCAACGGATAAACCAAAAACTGTCAATTTCGTGAAGTACCATTTAAAATTAACAATAACTTATAAAAATTAAAAATGTTAGTAAAAAATTTCAAATTCTAAAAAAATCTATGAATATGCAATTATATGCATTATGTCCAAAATATGCAAAAAAAAAGATTGGTCCTATTTAAACGAGAATAAGCCAAATCGTGGACAAATCTGACAACCAATTAATTTGGACTAAAGGAAAAAAACATGCAAATGCATATAAATCCTAGCCCTATTCATCACTTTTAAACTAGCTTACAATATAATATAAATAGTAAAGATAAGATAAATTTATGAATTTAACCAAACCTATTTGATTCAAGAATGTAAAAATAAAAATAAATGTTTACTAAAGCAGAAAGCTGTTAGCTTGTATTAGTGCATTACCATTTTAAATTACAAATTAACTGTTAACAAATAACAGTTATAATGTAACTTGAATTGTCTATATGAATTAATTTTGTTAGCTATTCAAAAGGTTAAAACTTAAAAGGATACATTCGTCATAAGGAGATATATCTAAGTCTTGTATATCTCCTTTATGGGTATATACTTCTCCAAGGTACTCGTGTCTATCTGGATATCTTCGGTATTTTCTAACAACGCCGCCTTCACATACAGAATATAGAAAGCTACCATTTGATGTGTACCTGACTTTCCAAATCGGTTTATCACGGTTTTCACAGAAGCTTTCTTGAATACCCAAATTAGGGACATATGACGTAATTTTATCGCCTCCACTCATAATTACACCTAAAAAATAAATAATAATAAATACAATATAAATTACAAAAAGTTAATACATAAACTTAAAATCATGAAAATAAATGTTTTTTATATTTAATATATTGAGAAAATTTCAATTATTAATAAAAAAATAATAAGCGTACTATAAAATCCATTCGACAAAAATCCTTGAAATGGTTCTGGTGTAGGACAAACCGTGTTCAGATGGCGTCCAGAATAAAATGTGTGCAATATTCGGCCATCCATTGTACATACTTTACAACAACCATCTGAACCTGCAGTGACAATAGTACTGAGAAGTCCGTTACTAGTTGCCCACGGCCATGATGATTCTAGAAAAACTATATCACGAATAGTACTAGAATGAAGCTGAAAAAAAATGAATATTATAATTACTTGTAAGCTCCATTTAGGCAATACATCAATATCATTTGTTTGGCTACTAACATCATAGACATAATCTAGAGGTAAAGGCATTCGAAGATCTAATAACGTAAGACCTTTGCCATTTACCGCTACAGATACCGCAATATTAGGTGATGTGGGATCAGTAGCTAGACCAGTTCTATCTCTCCCACTAGCTGCACAGTTATCATATGCTAATAGTTGTTCTCCTCGTTCAACATCAACAACTGAAAGYCTTCGAGATGTTGTACATGCTAAAATCTATAACAGATATAATTTATTAAAATAMATCTTATTTTTATGTATAAAGAATGCTATTCCAATTCCAAAAGTATAAGTAGATTTTATGAATGTTATAATTTTAACAATAAAATRWATAATAATAAACTTAACAGTAATACCTAGTATCAATATAAAATTTAAGAATCAAAGCAATAAATGTTAAATAAATTTCAGACAAGTTTTCAATATAATATGATGTGAATGTGAATATTGTTATTATTTTCTTTTAATAAAACTGGAAATTTTTTGTGTAGTATTTATTCATTATTATTAGGAGCTGGAATTGTATGCATTTGCATATTTTTATGTATTATATTAAAAAGTAGCTAGGTAAGACACAAATTTGAATTTTAACCTAATGTGTTGGTATGCAAAATTAAATGCTGCATATTTTCACATATTTGGAACATTTTTAATTATAATGCCAGTGGCAATTTCCTTTACTTTGGACCTTATAAAAACAAAATGTATATWCAAATCAATAATCCTAAACGACTCAATAAGTACATTGAGAAGTATTAAAAACTTCTCCAACCCAAACAAGATCATCAGAAAAATATATAATTAACTCAACAACCTAACTCAATCTAGCTATTCAATCGCCTTGATTTAGGATCCCTAGCCACAATCAAATCTCAGGAAATGAAAAAACTCGCCAATCAATTACCTCTGATGCTATTAGACTAGTTTCACACTCCACAACGCTAAATCCATATCAAAATTAATCTCATACAATATATTATGGTTAARGGCATGGAAACAAGGTACATCAAAACTAAACGAAATCAAAAATATCATTTACACATCAACCTCTCCACCAGAGATCTCAAGGAAGATGAAAACCGCAATAAATATAACACGTTTAAGACACACGTCGCTAACACGTTAATACTTAATGAAGCAAGAAGACCCAACCATATGTGCCAATTGCAGTATACTCCTATCAATCAACCAATCAACCAATCTTATAAATAGTCTATAATCCGTTCTTGTTTTTATAATATGTAAATACTAGATCCTTTAAAATTGTTAACCTTAAATGCCTTGTATGCAARTGTCTATAAATGCTGAGGCTTATTTATTTATATAAAAAAAATAAAAACAATAATGCATATTTTAGCATTTTTCTAAAATAAAATGCATGTTTATGAAAAAATAGTATTAAGTTACTAATACTTTTTTTTTTT